ATGGGGATTGAGTCGAGTATGCCAAGTGTTGTTGACAGGAAGTCAGGTGAGGGCTGGTGATTGATTATGTCTGATGATTTTATTTGGCCTGTTAGTTGTTCTTCAGTCTTTTGGCTTACTCTTTCAAAACTGGCCCAAATTCATTTTTTTGCACCACCAACCCAGCCAGCATTTCCACTTCTTCAGCACTTGTAACAGAAATCCTGCAAGCTTTCACAACCTATTCTCTGGATCACAGCAACAAAAGGCCCAGAAAGCTTTTTATAAAGAGAGGGGAATTAGGAGGCAAGTGAAGGCTGTGAATTTTGATAATGAAATTTTTTTAATTTGACTAAAAATAAAACTATTCAAACTTACCAGCCTATCAAGGAATTACAGATTAGAAATCCACTGGCTATTTTTTATTCTTGCAAACCAACTCAGCATTTTAAGGCACATCCTGAATGGACAAGAGACAGCAGACATTCCCATATACTAGTGGTGGAGGTGTTAATTGGTAAAGCTTTTCTAAGAGGCAGTTTGGCAATATAGAAGAATTATTTTTTTGTAAGTTCCTTCTTCACACCTTTTGGTCCAGTGATTCTGCTTTTAGTAATTTATCATAGAGAAACAATCAGAATGCACACTAAAATTTCTATAAAAGGATGTTTACAATAGTGCTTTAAAAAATAAAACTTAGGATATAGAATTAGGTAAGATTCTCTATTCTTCTAGAATATTGAAACACCCAAGTCTTTGGTGGTATGATTCTATATTTTTTTTAAAAACAGAATAGAAAAATATATCAACAAAATTCTTGATAATAGTAATTTTTGCATATGCTTGAGCTTACTGGACTTTCTACTTATTCAAAGGTATTTATTGAGGGCTTACCATAGGGCAGACATTGTTTTGAGTACTTGGGATACATCAGTGAAAATGGACAATTCTTATCCTTTCAGTGTTTACATTCTATCTGAGGGAATTCATGTAATAAATAATAATAAAGAAAGAAATATATATCCCCTTATAAAAGGCAATAAATGCTAGAGAAAAAATGCAGAATAAGGAAGAGAGGGGGTTAAACACACACACACACAGTGGCACATGCCTGCAATCGCAGCTACTTAGGAGGTTGAGACCAGGAGGATTGTATGAAGGCCAGCCCTAGGAAAAGGCTAGCAAGACCCAATCTCAAAAACAAGACTGGCATGGTGATACATAACTGTGGTCCCAGCTATATGAAGGCGGAAGGTAAGGCAGACCATGGTCCAAGGCTAGCCTGGACAAAAATATGAGACCCTATCTGAAAAAAAAAAAAAACTAAGGCAAAAATGACTTGGGGTTGTGCCTTAAGTGGTAGAACACTTGCCTAGCAAGCATGAAGCCCTGACTTCAGCCCCTAGTAATAGCATGACAGAAATTTAAAATTCAATAGTTAAGGTAGATATCATTGAGAAGGTGGCATTTGACATATGTAGCAGAAGGAATTATCATGTGAATATTGAGGAAAACGTATTCTAGACAAGAGGATCAGCAAATGTGAAGGCCTAAGGAAGAAGTATGTCAGATGTGTCTGTGGATGACAAAGAGGCCTGCGTGTCTGGAGCAGAATGAACATGATAGCAGGAAATGAGATTAGAGAGTAATGAGGAGGCAGACTGGGAAGAACCTACCATGAAGCTTTGGCTTTGTGAGAATAGACAGGCAAGATGACATTGCAATCATCTAGATGAGAGGTGATGGTGTTTGGATCAAGGGGGAGCAGTGAATATCGTGAGAACTGGTCAGATTCTGGAGATGTTTTGAAAGTGGAACCAACAGAATTTCTTGATGGTATTGATAAGGAGAAATAGAAGCCTTCAAAGTTTGGGGCCTGAATGACTGAAAAAATAAAACTGTTATCAACTGAGTTAGAATTGCCATATGATCCAGTAATACTACTTCTAAGGATATACCCAAAGAATATAAGTCAGATTGCAATAAAGACACCTTCACACCCATGTTTATTGCAGCATTATTCACAATAGCTAGCCAAGATGCCACACTAATGATGGATAGATTAAGAAAATGTGGTATTTATATACCATGGAATTTTATTCAGCCACAAAGAAGAATAAATTTTGTCATTTGCAGGTAAATGGATGTAACTGGAGATCATCATCTTAAATAAAGTTAGCCAGGTTCAGAAGGCCAAAGGCTGCATGTTTTCTCTCATATGTGGAATATATACCTAATACAAATATAAGCAATATTATGAAAAACAGGTCACACTAAGGAGAGGTCACATATGGGGGGGGTAAAAAAAAGAAGTTAAAAAGGTGAATGTGGTTGATGTACTCTCTATACAACAATGAATACAGAATTTTCAAACCCATTGAAATTATCATAAGAAGAGAACTAAGGTAGAAAGGAGACAAACAGAGAGGATGAACCAATTCAGGTTATAACACACATATACATGGAAATATCCCAGTGAAACCCCTTGTATAGCTCTCTTAAAGAAACAAAATGTCTTTTTTTGTTTTTTTTACAAAAACAGAGAACAGAAAGGAAAAACAGGTCCTGTATGGGAGGTCAGTACCAGTGGGAGAGGAAAGGATACAAGGAAAGGGGGTCAGAGAGTGAATATGGTAGAAACATTTTGTACGTGTGTATGTACATGGAAAAATGAGACCTGTTGAAACTATTCCGAGAAGGGGGGTAGAGGAGATAAAGAAGAAGGATGGAGGGGTGAATTCAACTACGATACATTGTGAAAAAATTTTGTAAATGTCACAATGTATCCCCAGTATAACAATAATAAAATTAAAGTATAATAATAAGAAAATGAGAAAGACTGAGTAGAGGAGTTTTGTGTGGGTGTGGGGAAATCAGGAGTTGAGTTTTGGACATGGTAAATCTGCAAGGAGAGATATCTGGGAGGCAGCTGTCTATGAAAATACGGAGTTCAAAGCACATGTCCAGTCTAGAGAGGAACACTTGAGAATCATTAGCATATAGATTGTATTTGAAGCTATGGAAAGGAATAAGTTTATCAAGAAAGTAACTGTAGACAGAGAAGAGGTCTAGACTTAAACAGTAGGAGATTAAGGAGAAAGTAACCAGAGGAGGGATGATTGAGAAAGTGTCACTGAGGGAGGGAGAAAAAATAAAAAGAACATTGGGAAAAAAGCGTTTCAAACACTGTGAGTCAGTTAAGTTGAGAAGTAATCACTTGATTTACCAGTGTGGAGGGCAGGGAGCTGGTGACCGTAATTTTGGATCAAGCAAGAAATTGAAAGGGATTTTGAGGTTTGTGAGTGTAGACAACCCAGTGGAGGAATTTTGCTGCAAAGGGCTTAGAGAAATGAGTGTGGCTGATGGGGAAAGTAAGGTACAGAAAAGGTTGAGTTTTTTCGATGGAACAATCAGCAACATGTTTGTACACTGTTGGGGGATTCTAGACAAGCTACTTTCACCATTCATATCCTTGAGTAGCAAAGTGACAGCTGATGTATGGTTGGGAAGTTAAATGAGGATTGTGAACAATAAACCTCCTCTACTCTGTTGCATAAAATTTCTAACTCTTCAGCCTCTCCATTGACTTAGGAAGTCACACTTAAAATACAGACATTTAGGATTAGCCTAACCTCACAGAACAATGATCATATTACTCTTCCCTACCCCAGTCAACACACATATACTTCAAGAAGACATTCATCCTACTTGGGAGGTGGAGATGGGGATCATTACTCAAAGACAGTTGGGCAAAAAGTTAAGATAACCCATTTCAATAAATAAACCCAGGAATGGTGGCATGTACTTGTCATCCTAGTTATGCAGGAGGTATAGGTAGAATGGAAGTCCAAGGCAAAAATACAAGGTCTTACCTTAAAAACAACTAAAGTTAAAAGACTTGGGTATAGAGCTCAAGCAGGACAGTGCTTGCCTAGCGAGCAAGGCCCTGAGTTCAAACCCCAGTTCCTAAAATAAAAGCTATTCACTTTGCTTGGAAAGCCTAGGGCTTAGAATCTTAGAATTACAGGTTGAGCAAAATCATGAAACACTAGGAATCTATGGAGGAAAGTCCATTTTTCAGGAAAAAACTGGAGAAAGAAAATCTTCGTCCTTTGATCCCACTCCTCCAAGGACTATATAACCCAGGCAACCAAAGAATTTTATGTTTGCTGCTTCTTCATTAGAATTACCAAGAGAAAAATACAGAAATTAACTTTGGACATCTTTGTGTTGGGGGATTTTGCACACCTCAGCCAGCACTTAAACTTTCCATTTTAGCACCATCCTCACCTCTGCAGTACATGTCTGTGCTCATGATACCACATAGGTATCATTTCCACTCAGATGGAATCTACTCTTCTCCCTCCCATGGGTCCAATATTGCCATTCCCCTTCTTATAAAGAATTCAAGAAGTAACGATGGTTTAGGATTGGCAGGGCTTTTGTATTAGCTCTCATCAGACAAATGATAAGAGCTAATACAATTCAATCTCAAAGGGGCAAAGTGAATTTCCCAAAGCCACAAGATCAATTAAAACTACAAAAAGATTTGAGAAAACTCCCACAGAGAGTTGACCAACTCAGTTACATGGAGGTAAATTTGGATTGTTCTCTGAAAGTCACATTCTAACAGAAGCAATAGCCCGAGTCCAGGGGGGTCCATGGTGACAAATGGAAGGAGAGTGCTGGGAAGGATGGGTATCATGGTAGCAACTGGATGATTTTTATATGTTTGATGTTGTGTAAGCATCCTCCTTGATTTGTCTGCCTCTAATTTTTGAGTAGTGGTTCTCAACCTGGAGAGATTTTGCCCAGAGGGGATACTGTGCAGTGTCTGGAGACATTTTTGATTGCTTCACTCTGGGAAGAAGGTGCTGCCAGTATCTAGTAGATAAAAGCCAGGGATGCTGGTAAACCTGCTGTAATGTACAGGACAGCACACCTCCACCTTATTGGACCCTAATATCAGTAGTTTTAGAAACTCTACTTTACTCAGAAGGGAAAAGAAAAGAGAACCTTACCAAAAGTTGGCTCTGGAGTAGTGTTCCATGTAGAGCTGCTCATCAGAAAAGGGGGCCACATGAATGTCACTGGATGTTGGGAACATCATTCCTAATGAGCAAAAGACAGTAGACCCAGAAATTGACTTCCATTGCCTTCTGCCAGAGGGTACACTCACCTGTCTCCTGAGACCAATTCTGTTCCTTAATTTTAATCTATACAGGAATGAATATAGAAATCTTCAACTGGCTGGGTCCACCATGGGAAGGGGACTAGGGAGGAGTGAAGAGGACTAGAGGAGATGAACCAATTAGGGTTGTAATACAAATATGCATGGAAACATCACAAGGAAACTCCACATGTAGCTATCTTTATCTCAAACTAACAAAAACATCATATTATTCTTTTTATCTTTTATCATTTTTCTACAAAATCAGAGAACAGGAAGGCAGAACAGGTTCTGGTTCACACCGGTGAGGGAGGAGGTGGTGGGGAAAGAGGGTAGGAGGATAAATACTGTGGGAATAATGTGTACACATGTACATAAATGCAAAAATGATACCTGTTGAAACTGTTCCAGGATTCGGGGGAGGGAAGATGAAGGAGCGCAGGTGGAATGGGTGTTTCAAGTATGATATATCTGATACATTGTAAGAACCTTTATAAAAACCACAGTGTACCCCCATCCAGCACAACAATAAAGGGAAAAAAATTAATAAAAAATCTTTACTTCAGTTTGTTACATGGCAGAATAAAATATAATTTACCCCAAAAGCAAGAGTAAAAACTTAGGCATATCATTAAAGGGGATACAAAAACAATAGCAAAGCAGGATATAAAGCTATACAATGATAAGAACTTACTGTCTTAGGTAAGGCATTTACCTTTGAAGTTCCTAGCTTTTTCCCTTCATCTATTCTGTGCTTGGAATTCTGGGTACTTCCTTTTATTTGTTAATCTCTTACTTATTATAAAATCAATGTAGCTTTGAAAAGAATCAAAAGCCTATCATCTTATCAGGCTACTATTTCCATTCCCAAACAGTGATCCATTTCTGTTTTCATAAGTGCTGTTGGACTTCATGCTTACATGGACACTCACCATCCTCCACACTGGGAAGCTCACCCTGTGCTTTGTTCCTAGCATCTAGAGGCACTACAAGAATGGTAGATTCTTCAGCAGATGAATGTACACCTAGACTGTATGCTGGAAGTCAGGTCTTTCTGAGCAGGTAAATCTGATGATCAACATTGCTATTCTTGTAACTTGGGGGAGAATCTTTTTCATAGTCATTTATTACATAAAACTTATAAAAGATGAATGTTAACTCTATTTCAGAAATGCAAATGGCCTAAGCAACCAGGGATATGTCATAAAATAACAATAATAATAATAGCTAAGTTTCTTCATTATGTTAACTCTTATGCACTTTTCTATGGATTTTCATTCATTTAGTCCTCATAACAATATAAAGCAAGTTCTATTATAATATACATTTATAAATGAGGAAATGAGAGAACAGAGAAACTTAAGTGACCCAGCCAAGATCATAAAGCTCAAAATGGGAAACAGAGTGGAATCTCATCTGATGGCAGTGCCCCACACTTTATGCCACCCTCTATGCTTTTTAAATACAATAGATCATTTTGTTTAAAACCTTTCCAGAGGTGGGTAGAGACAAAGTATGGTGATAACATCATTCATAAGTCTCCATCTAAAAGCCTGGGTGTCAAAACAATAATTGCTTAGTGTTTTTTGAAGTTAGAAGGGTATTAAACAATCCTGGAAAGTAACTTGTGTTCTGGCTTGTGTAAACAGGAAGCTTCAGAGGAGGATATTGTGAACCTAAGAGGAATTCCAAGGATATCAAATAAAATAGATAAAAAGAAATCATCACAGGTAAAGTTTAAAAATTCTAAAACAGAAAAAACTGAGTCTTTTGATTCAATGTAGTCACTGAATGCCCAGCACAGAAATTTAAAAAGACACATACCAAGAACACTAGAAATACAGAGAAGATACCAAAAACATCCAGAGGGAAAAAGTATGTCTCTCTCGAGGATCAGGAGTTAGAATGAAATGGGATTTCTCAACAACAATATTGGAAGCAGAAACAAACAAAAAGCATTAAAACACTGAGTAAAAATTGCTTTCAAGTTAAATTCTAAACCTAGTCAAACAATAATAATATAAGGTTATAATAAAAAGTAGCTTCTCCAATACCCCTTCTCCAGAAGCAATAAAAGAGCATCCTTTGCTGAAACAATAGTGTAAAACAAGAAATAGGGAGACAAAAGAATGGTGATGAAAAGTCAAAGTGTGGCAGCCATGCAGTAGGGCTGGGAAGCAGTTAGTTTATGCTAGTTAGAGGAGGACAGAGATCTACAGAGAGCAGGCATCCATAGAGCCAACATTGACTGCATCTATCAAAATCTGTTGAAGAATGGAAACTCTTGTCCATGAGTCTACAAAGAAACAAGCTAAAGGAAAGCACAAGGTAATGAACTCCAGGAAAAACAAACTAGACAAAATCACAGAGCATCTTTAATACCACCTAACTCAGCACTGAACACTATTTACCTTATACTATATTACATTACATCAATAATATAAATGCTTACAATTGATTTAATTAATGATCTAGGTTAATATTCATCTTTAATTCTGGAATCCAATAGAACTATGAAAAGCAGCAGATTTTTATAAGTTTACAGCAACATTATTTGATGGCAAAACCTGATCTGAATTGACATAGTCTACTTAAGGTCTTTATTTTTCCCACTTGCTCTCAATATTCATATGTTTTGTTGCAGGAATATAATGTGTTTCATTATGGGGTGTTGCCTCAAGTCCCACTGGGGGTGTTAAGTAATATGGAGACTATGATCATATTAACTCTCTGAAGTCCTCTGGCTTTTGAATTCTGAAATGCATCTGTCCCCAAGGATTTGGATAAGGGAGAGAGGATCAATATTGAAGGGATGGGGGACAGGGAGGGTAGATCAAGAAGGGAAGAAGTAGCTACATATGAGTGTTAAATTTCCAGGCACAGAGGACAAGAATGTCAATAAAATAATTTTACTCAAGAATATTTAGGTGCATAATAGAAGAAAGAGTAAATAGAATTGAAGTAGTTGCCTTTGGGGAGCATCTGAGGATAGAAAAAGTGTGGCAGAGGGTTACTATTTTCATTATAACCCCTTTTATTATTATTTGATGTTTTAAATTATGTCTTATTTTGATGAAAAATAAAAATAATTTTTAAAAAATCAATATCCTTCCCTCAGGAGCACACAGGTTAGAAAGCCAATAAAATCAGTATTCAATTCTACTTGTTTAGTTAAAGACACATAGCCCAGTATGAAATTTCATATTCATTTCAAATATCTGGGAAGAAAAGGATACCCAGATATGAAATCTAAATTTCTAACTTAAGAGAGGCTCAATATATGCATGTTAATTAACCTTTAAAATATCATCCTACAGAAGTATCTAACTATCTGAAAAGAATCCAGAAAAAAACCTACAAGAATTCTTCCTAGGGGCAATGAGAAGGAAACCCAAGCTGCTTTGTTCCTTTCCTTTCATCTCCCACGTTCAATTTTATCGCCTGAACATAAGACTTCCAAGATCATCCTGAGCTGTTTCACAGCAGCATTCCCAATGCTGTTCTTGATATTAGGAAAACTTTGCCTGAGCTCATTTATTTATTTTTAAATGAGTTTGTTTTTCCAGTGCCCATTATGAATTCCTAAAACTTAAAACATGTAGGTAAGTACAGATAAGCTTCAAACTTCATTTATATCACTTTTTTGCATATACTGCATAACTTGGCTTGTATGAGTTGCACTGTGATTTACTATTCTGCATTCATTGACTTATCAAGGCAAGGGGTCACAACATCGGGAATTTAAAGTAAGCAAAATGGGGTTAGGGGTTGAAATTCTAATGAGAGATGCAACTGTTAAAATTGGCTGGTTACTCTCTATTCATTAACTAGAAAAAAATCCCCACTATTGGAACACATTCATTCTCTCTAGTGAAGAATGGAAAGTGAGTATGTGTGCAGGAGCCATACTTGGGTTCCAATCCTTGCTGTCGCTTACTACATGTATGTTCTTTCCAAATTACTTTCCCTCATTAAATCATAGTTCTCTTTTTATAAAACAGGGATCATAATAATGCTTCCTGATAATTCTTCACCATTGACATTTTGGGTTGCATTGATATTTCTTTGATATAGGGGGTATTCTGTACATTAAAGGCTGTTCAGCCCTGCTGCCATTGTGACAACCAAAAATATCTCTAGACATTCATATATCCACTGGGGAAAGATTCGAGGTTATTCAGAACCTCAATGTTAACCCCTCCAATCAAAAACTTCTGACATTCACACTTTGCAAGAACTTGGTATTCAAATTGCTTAATATGTACAGTTACTTGGTAAGCATGATAAGAATACTGCATTTATAGTAGTTCCCCTTATCCTTGTGGGTATGTTCCAAGGTCTTCAGCAGATGCCTGAAACCACAGATAGTACTGAAGTACGCATATACTATGTTTTTATGTACATACATACCTATGATAAAGTTTAGTTTATTGTAAGTATAAATAAGGCACAGTAAAAGATTAATAGCACTAACAATAAAATAGAAAACTATAATAATATATCTTAATTAAAGCTATGTAACTCTTTCTCTCAAAATATCTTGTACTATAATGTTCTTGTGATGACAATGCCTACGTGATGAGACAAGGTGAGGTAAATGGCAGAGGCACTGGGGTTATTTAAAGGTTACTTGAACACATGCACTGTAATACACTACAGTCGATCTGACAACTGGAATGGTTACTAAGTGATTAGCAGCTGGGTGGCTTCTACAGTGTGGGACATACTCCACTAAGTGATGACTCACATCCAAGCCAGGATGGAGCAGGATGATGGATGACACAAGATTTTATCATGCCATTCTGAATGGTGCCTAATTTAAAATATATGAGTTGTTTATTTCTGGAATTTTCCATTTAATATTTTAGTGATACAGCAGGAAAAGAATATGTCAAAAGAGCAAGCAGACCCCAAAAAGTTTCACACATTCTAGAAGGCCAACATTTGGAAGGGCTTTAGAGACTGGGTATAACAATGCATCATTAAATGAATGAGGAAATTAAACTCAAAAGGTCCAGTGTTACTCCAAGTTCAGTGAGGAAGAAAGTGACAAAACCATGTGACTCTGAACTGGTCTTCCATACCATATCAGTGCAGCACACCTGTGTCCTTATGGCTGGTGACTAGCTACTTCATTATGGAAGAATGAGATGAGAAAATTACATCATTGAATATAATAGAAATACTCTTTCCCCATTTCTGTACAAAATCAAATATGGGGGAAAGAGGGTAGCAAATTTTTATTAAGAAATAAGCCTGTGTTCTAAGCAGGAGTTGGCCAACTCACCATTTGCTTTTAGCCATTTTTTGGAATGAAGGTAACTCTCCAGCATCCTTTCATTGAAAAGCAAGTATCCCATTGGTTCAGAAATAATCACATCTACCAACTCAGGAAGTGAGATTTCTTCAATTTTTCCTGGCAAAACAATGATCTTGTCTGAAAGGTGGTTATTTTTCACTAGCATCTGAAAAAGACAAAAGAGGGTATCAATGCTGCTGTTATTCAGAATCTTATGAAAAATAAATTTTGTAAATTAGGGTTTGGTGTTGAGAATGTGATAAGAAAGAGAAAAATGTAACATTTGATTCTAGAAAAACTTCTAAAGAAAAACATTTTTCTTACTGTACAAATTGTGCATGTTATTATAAATAATTAGAAGATATGGGTAAGAAGCAAAATAAAAGCACATGTCATGCTACCACATAGAAATAGTAACTATTAACAATTTTGTGTGTATCTTTGGAAATTTGTGTATACACATGTGAATTTATGTAGTCTGTGTATGTACATTCACACATGCACATACACATTTAATGGGACTTTTAACATGACATCAGCTTATTTCTGATTGATTTACCTGTAATAAATGCTAAACAACACTGCATAATAATCTTCCAAAAATTATGATCCAGATTCTTATTAAATTATCCCCTGGTCTTTTGATTTCAAAATAAATAATACCATATTCACTAACTTTTCTTTGAAAGTACACTTTTATGGTCATGTATTCATTTTCTTTCATATCCTCTATATTCTATTTAATAACTTTGAACTCTTTTAAAAGAGGAACCCTGAAGAGAAATACATTTGTTATATTTCAGTGCAATTTGTAACACATATTGTTACATGTGTGCCTATATTTCAATGCAATTTGTAACACATATTTTTACATGTGTGCCTTTCTACTGCCTAAAAATCTTCCTAATAAACATCTATGTGCAACAACATATTAGCAGGGCTTGCTTCTGCAACAGATTAGGGGGAGGGATGGGCAGCAGTGGCAGGGTAGAA